CGGAATGAATCTTGGTCCCTGGAGGATGAGAATGAAAGACTCGTATTTTGGAAATGCTAAAATGTTTTTTTTTTTTTTTTTTTTTTTTTTTTTTTTTTTTTGGAAAATTAGCGATATATTGCATTCAGAGATCAGGCACAGAGGCTGTTAGCCGAAAAGGCTAGTACAAAAATTAAAATTTCTTCTCCTTTGATTATCGCTTATATTCAAAATTTCTTCCCTTTTCGACTAGTACTCTTATTGTCAGCTTCTTTCTCAAAAACTTCTAAAGCGGATGTCTACAAATTTGTGAATCAAATTGAAGCCTAGCTGGTTGTATTGGTTTAAACTGGAATTAGATTCAAAGGGGTTTCAGTTTGTACTAATTTCTTGATTTCCAAACATTATAAATACGAGGGATACGAGTGCAAAGAAATAGCAATAATAATCTCATTCCTCCTATGAAAGTTTATAATAATTCCATTTTATAAATTCATTACTCTTAATTTAGTGATATCTTTCTTATCAAAGTTGAAAGGATTTTCAGATATAAAACCTGTCTCGTTGAGAAAGAATTATACATAGTAGGAGTAGCAGCATGATCATGATAGATACAGCCAGGTGTAGTGTAGATACACATTGGTAAATATGTATATGTTTTGTGTGTACAAATTATAGTAGTGGAATGTCTTCTGCCGTACATATTTTTGCGGCCAACCAGTAAGGGAGGCTAGCACCAGAAGAATGGCCAAAGAGTGGTCACGGATGCTCTATTATTTATTGCATGTATAATGAGATATTTAAACCTGAGAGGTCCAAAGCTTCTCATGGGTCTGCATCATCATAAATGAAACAAGTTGATGAGTGATCTGCAATGAAAAGTCACCAACAACAAAAAAAGCCAAGCAGCTACAACATTCTACAAGCTCACAAAGTAGAATGAATTGTAGTATAAGAGATTTTTTAAGCTCGACCAACATTGTTGGTTAACTCCGTAACAAAGTAAGTTTTTGGGTCTAATGATTGTCTAATACGATTCCGATCTTTGATTGCAAAAATTTAAGATCTTCAATCTTGTTCGTTCCGGCTTCGTTATTGGATTTGCAAAATGAGGTGTAGTTGCAGGTATATAGGTTTACCTCTTCGCATGAAGTCATGAGGAAAGGTGCTATATTTACCTTTAATTTCAATCATTGAGTTCGAATGTTTAGAAAAGTCCTCAACAAACTGTGCTCCTTCTCTTTTTTGGGTCAAACCCTTAACATTATCTCTAGCCCCTTCTCTCTCTATTTTGGGTGTGGTGGGCTTGCCCTTCCTGTCAGTTACCAAAAGGAGGGAACCGTACACAATCGGTAGCAAAGTCACCCTTTTACCTAAAATGAAGTATATAACAATATGCCAATGGGTTCCACCACAGTGGTGGTGGGTTGTCTTTCCTCCCAATATAACCTAAAAAAAGTATATAACAATGTGGATGGATCCTGAGGAGGATTCAATGAACGAATGAGACCTGCATATGCCATTCACTGAATAAAGGGTACCCTTGAAGACAGTGGCGGGGACGTAATGAGCTTTACTTTCAAATGCATCTCTATTTATAAATAAAAGTTAAACAATTACAAAATCCTAAATCATGTTTAAAAGAAAAAACTAATTCTCATAATATCATCAATACTTTTAATCAAATATCTCAACAATACCAAAAACAAATCAAACATCTCAACCGAATTCCTAAAATCAAAGTCCTAATTTAATTTCAACAAAATTTTCAAATTATAATTCATTCCTAATTAAACCTAAGATACTCAATTTCAAATTAAAGATGCATATGATAACTAAAAAGGAGAGAAGTAGAAGAATAATTGTTGCAAAGAACAGAGAAAAACAAGAAAATAGGAAGAAGAAGGAAATAAATAACTGCCGAGGAAAAGAAGAAAATAAAAATAAGAGAGAAAAGAGATGAGAAGGAAAGAAAGGGAAGAGAGAGAGAAGAGTGAACTCGAGCGGAAGAATAAAAAATAAGAAAAAAGAAAGGGGAAAGAGAGGAAAAAAAAAAGTCGAGAAAAAGTGAGCCGAGGGCATTTTTCAAGAAAAATGTAGGCCTATGAGATAAAAAATAGCGTGAGTGTAGGCCATGGCCCATAGCTGGGGAGAAGTTGATGTCACAAGGAAGAAAACTGAAGGAAGTTGCTGTAGACGTAGACAAGAGGAGAGAACTGCCCAGCCAATATTGTTTTTGGAGAAATTTGGGCTCCCGCCCTTAACGTAGAAACGCCCCTGACTTGAAGAGTGAGTGCATGAGAGGCTGAGACATGATTGTGCCCTTTTCCTTCTTAAACCATTGAACTGGATTCTACATAATGTGACCACTCAATAGTGCAACTCAATGCTCGTAGCTGCCTATTTTTTAGGTCGCTTCTTAAGGTTTTTCTTGTGAAACATTAGCCAAATCGATAATACAACATGTATTAAAAGGAAATCATTTTGTTGGTAATCAACTAACTAAACAACAAAGATGATTCAGATCATTGGAAGACATGTCGATGCTCGCATCGCATAGCATCCATCACTTTCAGATTCTCCCATATTTATAACAGACAAGTGACACTCCTTAAATGAATAGAAATTTGGTTAGCCGGACGCTTCCAATTACATAACTGTTGATGCCTTGTAATTTTTTATCAGTCCACTTGATGGACCAGCTTAGCATTTCTCTCGTGAAGTGATTGAGAGAGAGAGTTTTTAACTCTATGTTGAGAGAGAGAGTTTTTAACTCTATGCATCAATTGCTGCTTTAGCTTGCTTTTTGTGTTTGTGGTTCAAGTTGCTCCCACTTTAAGCTGTATGATTTGACTACAAATTGGGGGGGTCAGCATTTGCTGCGGCGGATAATGATGCATTTTAGAGTTTTGCCGAGCTGAAAAGATACCCCAGACAATAGCTAGCATAGGTCTCCTATTAGCTCCTGTCATATATGGTACGGCTGACGCTCCACAAATGACCTCATAATTAATTGGAATTATATCTGTAACATGTAAATTTTGTGTACTGGTTTATTGGGGCTGACATACATGCTTGTGGCTGAGTCTTAACTTCATGAAAATATATATATATAGGTACATATGGCTGGAGACAGTCTGGAAAAGTAGACATAGACTATTCAAAGCCAGAGCAAAACCAAATCATAGATGGAAGGAGAGTAAAGCATTTGAGAGGTTCGCTACGCAGGAGAGATGGCGCTGTCGTCGGTCATGACCCTGTTGAGGGGGCTGGGAGCCAGCGTCATCTCTGTTGCATAGGAAACCTGCATATGCACACGAAAACCACTACAGTGGCAAGCAATGGCAACCAGAAGTTTTAGTTTTGATGAAAATGGGGTTCAACTTTCTTTGTCTTAGCAAAATACTAGGAGCACAGCAAACTTTTTACACTTCAAAGGAGTTTTTATTTTCATTTTGTTCTCATCCTTACAGTTTCCTGTTTACTCTTTGTTTTGCAGGTGCAAAATGCCTGCATTTTCAGCTCATATATGTCTCTGGTGCAAGTTCTCTCGGTTTCTACAGTGCCAAGCTTAAGACTTTCATGGCATGATATTTTCCCCCAAGAAAAGCATAAGAATGAGCACACACTTCCAAGCTTACAAGCATCCAAACAACTAGCTGCATAAAACTTGGTTACCGATGTTTCTATTTTATTTATTTGTTTTTTTTTTCCATAACAATAAAGAATGTGTGTCATCTCATATAAAATATTCCTTGATAGTGGATAACTCATCCAAATTATTGTAAACATTACATGTACTCTCTTGGAAATGAAGTGTTTTTACCTAAAATTCATTTTGATTGTTAATTTGTTGGTCTAAGATTCAACTGAGTCAGGCATACCAGAAAGCTAGATCCAGGTAATGTTTTGTTTTTGCTTCTATGTATGCTTAGCCGAGATTCATCCATATTTAACATGTAAATCGGTTATAATACTGTACCCTAAAGTAAAACTTCCATTGCCCACTTAATTATAGCACATAGATTGGTCATACCATGTGACAGTGTTCCATTACCACGCTTATAAACTTTCAATGTATGTTCAATCGACACAGTGTTTTATCAGTAAACATTATCCATCAAAATGATACTGTTTGCGTTAAGATGTTGAAGCAATAATCTATTCTTGTAAAACGCTAATTTTCTTCGCAACAATAACACAGGACGTAAACAGGTTTACCAGGTTTCATATTTGACCCTGTTGGGGGGGCTGGGACGCCAGCGTCATCTCTGTTGCATAGGAAACCTTGCATATGCACAACGAAGACCACTACTGTAGCAAGCAATGGCAACCAGAAGTTTTAGTTTTGATGAAAATGGGGTTCAACTTTCTTTGTCTTAGCAAAATACTAAGAGCACAGCAAACTTTTTACACTTCAAAAGAGTTATTATTTTCATTTTGTTCCTATCCTTACAGTTGCTGTTTACTCTTTGTTTTTGCAGGTGCAAAATGCCTGCATTTTCAGCTCATATATGTCTCTGGTGGAACTTGCAAGTTCTCTCGGTTTCTACTGTGCCAAGCTTAGACTTTCATGGCATGATATTTTGCCAAGCTTACAAGCATCTAAACAACTAGCTGCATAAAACTTGGTTACCGATGTTTCTATTTTATTTATTTGTTTGTTTTTTGTTTCCATAACAATAAAGAATGTGTGTCATCTCATATAAAATATTCCTTGATTGTGGATAACTCATCCAAATTATTGTAAACATTACATGTACTCTCTTGGAAATGAAGTGTTTACATAAAATTCATTTTGATTGTTAATTTGTTGGTCTAAGATTCAACTGAGTCAGGCATATCAGAAAGCAAAACTTCCATCGCCCACTTCATTATAGCTTATAGATTGGTCATACCACGTGACAATGTTCCATAACCACACTATAAACTTTCAATGTATGTTCAATCAACACAATGTTTTATCAATAAACATTAAAACATCAAAATGACTCTTTGGGAAAGATGTTGAAGCAATAATATATTCTTGTAAAACGCTAATTTTATTCACAACAGTATCATTTTGATCAAGTGTTTCAAGCTTCCGACAGTTTGCCTTCCATCTGGAGAGCATAAATATTATCATCTCATCACAAAGAATTTAGACCATACATTTCACATCTGACACCATGCGTCTATTCAACTTAGCTCCTAGTGAGCTGTTTCATGTTCCGAAGCCACGCTTCTATTCAGCTACCATGATCCTTCAGCACCCAAAGTGGGATTTTCGAAAGCAGAGAAACCCCAGAAAGTCTTCAAAGAGTAGGGCTGAGAGATTGTTACACCTTCTTCAGTGATTTTGGAAATCTGCAATTTCAAAATTTAAAGTATCATCGTACAAGGAAGTGCTAATCCATGAATATATACAGAACAGATGTTAGAAAACTTATTGGGTAGAAAAACAAAACACTTAAACAGGTTTACCAGGTTTCGTATTTGAAAAGGTTTATAAATGTTGAAGATGATAAAGATAACAGATAGGTGAATTATATGACAGTCAAAAAAATTATAAAGATAGATAAGAAGGCCCTCAGTAATTGCTAGTCAAATGATCGTTTCTTAAAAGCCTTAATATTATGGAAAGGATAGCTAATACCACTGCTATTATTATAGGATGACAAAAGATAGAGTAAACAACATTCAATAAGTACCATACCTGAAGCTTGTTGACAGCAGACCGATCTCGATAGAGAAGGACACGCATGCATTTCTCCAGTAGCTTTACACCCTCTTCAAAAGTCAAGTTCTCATGCCATTCATCACGAAGAATAGGCCGTGCAAGGTGATTTCCAAATCCTGTAGCTACATGATTGTCCTCAAAATTTACACCTATCATGCTAACCTGGATAGGGATAAAAGAATATAACAAGAAACTAAATCAGCTCATTCAGAAACTTTATTCTTGAATAAATAAATAAATAATCAGCTTTCCTAATTGCACACAGCATGCTACAACGCGTTAAGGGAAGGATTATATGAGGCCTACCATGCCAAGGTACTTCTGTCCTTTTTTTACTCCACCTAGGACAAGAGAGTTCCACAGTGGATTGAACTTGTTACGCCTATTGTACATCACTCGGGTCAAATAGTTGTGGACCTCTTTAGGACCCAAAGAGTTGCCATCATCCCACATGTTGTCATATAGGCTACAACCATAAAACACAAAATGAATAATCTTTGAACTCCAGTTGCAAATGATACAAAGAAGCATAGCAAAAATCACAACGAAAGCATTAGGGAAGGAATCTTCTACATAATTTTTCTTGAGAACAATGCTTACATGAGCTCATCAAGATAACGTAATAGTTCTTGAAAGTCACTTATTTCTCCACTTGCACCAAGAAGAGAATGCTTTCCAATTGGCTTCATTCGTTCCACACTCTTGTATCGCAGGGTAGACCCATAAGAACCTATTAGTAAATGCATCATATCATATTATTAAAAACCTAAACAGAAACATGAAAAGGAACATACACGGGCATCTAAATTTTGCAACATAAACAGTATTGAAACTCCAAAAGAGAGATGATGAGCATTGTTCATAAAGCGATGGACTTTAACCTTTATGTCACAAAATAATTAAAAATTGAAACACAACCTAAATTAAATTGGCAGCTAACCTCCCATATCAGCAGCCATCAAAATTCCATCTTTGTACTTCAGAGCCACTACAGATGTACCAGTTACATATGGGTACCTTCAAAAAATATTTTTTTTTAAAAAAGAATTCAAGGATTGAAAGGTCTACACATAGCAAAAATACGCATCATAAATGAGAAAAGCGTGAAATGTGAGAATATAATACAGGGTTCTCTGAGAGGCTTCAGGGTTGCACAGTAGGCCGGGTTTGGCTTGGTTCGACTCCATTAACTGCTCAAAAAATCACAAATTCAAAATCAAAGTAACAATGATGAAAAGCAACACCTATTAATTTTGCTAACGAGTAACATGGAACTAATAAAATCCAAAAAACCAGATAATGAAGCCTAATAATATATAACACAAACATTTGTAAAGAAACACCATAAACAAATGTCAAGAAGCACCAATCAGATCCTGTAGCAGATACAAGATTGTATTCGACCAGCAAACAATAATACTCATCAACAGAGAACACCTAAAACCCACATGCAATTTCTACAAGAAAACCAGATCTAAAACCCATCTTTGAACAAAACCCAGTTCATCAATTAACTTAAATCAAACAAATAACAAAACCAAACTTTAAAGCCACAAACATTCAAACGGGTACAAAGGCAAGCAATAACAGGAGGATAGAGATACAAACCTCAAGAAACTCAAAGTGAAGAATATATGGGGTGATTTCTCTCGCCGCCGACTTGAATCTGAAGAGTGAGATGGAGGAGAGGATGAAGAGATTGGGAGGCTGGGGGAATTTTATGTTTTTAGGATGAATTTTTATGTTTTTCGGATGAATGAGGCTGGGGGAATTTTTTGTTTTTCGGATGAATGAGGCTGGGGTATATAAAGAGGAGCAATTGCTACACCTGTTTGGTTAGGGTTTCCTTCTGTGCAGGGTTTCCTTCTGCGCCGTTGGATCTTGGTGGATTTAATCTACACCTGTTTGGTTAGGGTTTTCCTTCTGCGCCGTTGGATCTTGGTGGATTTAATCTAACGGTTGTAATGCTCACTTGCCACCGCGGCGCTGCTGATGCCCTAATCCTTAAACACGGTGTCGCCACTTTTGCACAAGCATTTTCTTTTTCCGAATTTGGAGGGCCATACTTGCCACCATCGGACCATCCTACCCTTTCATTTAAGGGGAGTGCTAGCAACCTTCTCTCTAACCTTCTCTTTTGGACCTTCTCCCTTCTTCTCATGACAAGTGTCACTTTCCTTACACTTAAAACAATGTCATTAATGCAACACACAAACTAGGTTTTGTTTTCCAAGTTTACCCTTATTAAATGTATTAATTTTTTTTAATAACAAGCTAATGTTTTTTACAACTTTCTTACCATTTTGTTAAAAAATTAAATAAGAAAATAAAAACTGAAGTTTTTTTTAAAACTTTTTTTTCCAAAGAGAATGTGTGTTTTGTTATAAACAAAATAAAGATGATAACAATGTCATGAAACGAACTTCTTTTTTTTTTCAAAAAAATATGACGTTTTTCTTATGTTTTTATTATTACTTAATTTTTAATAATGTGCTAAAGAAGTTGTAACAAAATTTGAATAAATTGAAGGAAATATAGAAGCCAATACATTTTAAAAGGGTAAACTTGGAAAATAAAAACTAACTTGTGTGATGAATTAATAACATTGTTTTTAGTGTAAGGAGAAAAGGTTGCTAGCATTTCTCTTCATTTAATTCTCTTTATTTATTTATTTATTTTTGCTTTTTAATTGTGAGGGTAAGGTAATCTTCAGTCATGGGCCATAGGCCCAATATAACCCTAAAAAAATGCAAAACTCATCTCCAATCATAGACTAAACAAAATTTTGGCCAAATTTAGATGACCACATTTAGCCCGGCTTTGGCCTAGGCCAAATTTTTTGTGGATCCCATACATGTGATTTTGAAGAAGATAAATTATCAAGTGTGGACAAGAACACGAATTATCTCGTACAAATGCATATACAACAGCCAACAATAAAAGCGCTGACACCATTGATATATTTTTAAAAACCTTTTAAAATGTTTTCAATTCATGTTGTTTAAGAACAATTTATAAAAAATTATTGGTCATGACCGTTGGAGGTCAAACCATTGAAATCTAACCATTTTTATTTTTATTTTTTAAATGTGGTCACATTTTAAAATGTTTTCAGTTTGTAAAAAAATTATAAAAAATTACTCTCATCATTGAAACCCATCCTTTTTTTATTTTTTTATTTTTTATTTTATAAATGTGGTCACCTTTTTAAATATTTTCAAGTGTTGTTAAAAAAAATTATAAAAAATTATTGGTCATGGAATATTGTCTCTAAATAGTAGTTTAATTAAATTAAACAATACATAGTTGTAGAATGTATGCGTATTGTACCATAGTTTTTCTCAAAATAATAAAATATGAAGGACCCTAAAATATAGCCATGTATGGCTGGAGATGGAAAAATTTAGCCATGTACTATTCTTTAAAAAATTAATATTTTGGAGGGCTAAATATTTAGCCATGGATTACATTTAGCCAAATAACTGGAGATGGCCTTACCCTCCAACCAGGCCAATTATATCTTTTGGGCTAGGCCAAATTTTTTTGTGGGCCCCATGTGACAGGATCCAACCCAAATTCCACTTTAAAATCATTGTCGAAACCCGTGCATGTCCAACACCTGGCAGGCGTCGGGTACATTTGACCAAATTTCCCTTCTAACTAATACTCAAAAATTCCTTTAAGGTTTAACTTCTGCCGAAAAATCGGCAGAGTCTCCCTATAAAATATATTGTTAATATTGAAAACCAAATCCCAATCGTTCAGCATGCATAAGACAAATAACTCTGAATGGCCTCAGGTCTCTTTATACTAAATAAATCATTCTACCATCTGAATCTGATCTCAACTCCTAGAACAACGTGAACACTTTATCTAACTGAACAAATTTTCAGCACTTGATTTTGTGGCTGCACCTAGTAACTCTAGGTTGCCTACGTACCCTTACCAAAAGATCAAGCCACACGTAGCTCTTTCTTAGTTTATAGGATTTTCTAGGGTTATCTACTGTAGACATCCGTGAACTTGGCCTCTAGTTGCAATTGGGTTCGTGAACTTTTTTTTTTTTTTTGTTTATGCCAATTACTTCCCATAACTGGACAAATAGTTGCAATTAGGTCCTGCCATCCAACTCTGTCAATTTGTCCGTCAAAATGAGGGGTAAAAGCATCCTTTCAAGTCTGAAGACTCTCCTTCGCTTCATAACTCCTCAATGTTAGAAATCCCCAAAATGAAGAGCTGAAAGGGGGCTGTGACGAAAGGAAAAATGTTGGAGAGTTCGACAGATTCAAATTGCAGCTGTTGTTACTGCAAGTGTGGGTTGGAAATCAAATGTCGGACTTCATGGACGGATCTGAATCATGGAAGAAGATTTGAGGTATGTTGCAATAAATAGGTAAGTTTTTGTATTTGTAGAAGATTGGTTGAAGTAAAAAATGATTTTGTGGGGTTTGAAATTGGTGTTTCGTTTTGTTTCAATTGCAGAATAATAAAAGGGGGTTGCATTTTTTTGCATGGGTGGAGAATGAAATATGCCCACAAGGAACGGAAATCTTGCCTAGGTTACTTAGAAGACTAAGAGGAATGAAGGATGAATTGAAAGCAACGGCGGAGAACTTCAAATTGATGGAAGAAGAGAAGAATAAATTAAAGCAAAGCCTAAGAGAAGAGGAAGAAGAAATCAAGATTTTGAAAAAACAGATTTCGGGAATGGGTAAACAAGTTGTTGTACTAGAAGGGGAAATTTTGAATTATCGACAAAGACAAAGGTGGTTCTGGGTTGTTATTCTGTTGTGTTTTATGTTTGTGATATTGTTCATCAATATAGATGATTTGGTAGTGTAGAAATAGGCAGGAAATGGGCATAATGTTATATATACTCTTTAAAAGCTTTTGATGGCATGGGCATTAGTGTAGAAAGGGGCAAGAATTGGTAATATGGGTAGGATATGGGAATGAATTGCTAGTGTAGAAATCTGGGTAGAAACCTGGGCATAAGGTTATTTTGTGCCTCTTTGGCAGTCTATAAAGCCTTTGCTATATAAGGTCATTTTGTGCTGAATAGGTAGTGTATAAAACCTTTTGCTATATAAGCTGATTTTGTGCTGAATTGGCAATGTATAATACCAAATGAACATGGGCAATCCAACATTTACCAAATAACATTCACCAAAATACACTTGAACATTACATAATCCAACTGCAAAAGAGCCTTCAAAATAACATTACCAAATAGGATACTTAACAGTCTATAATTGTCCACCCAAAATATACATCCACATAATACTTAAAGGTCCAAAATAGGTCTTAAAAGTCCAAAAAATAGGTCTTCACAGTCTATACTTGTCCTCCGCTTTTGACACTATGTTTGAATCTTCCTCTACGGGTTGTGGTTTCTTGAGTAAGTGAAGAGGATGGTGGTTGCAAGGGCACTTGTTGTGAGGATGTCATTGGCAGATTAGCCCTTCCTTGACTAATACCACTTACCACTTAAGATTAAAAACACAAAGAACATATATTACTATATAGGCAAACATAAAAAAAAAACCTGAGTTGGGCAAGAATAATAGGCAACTAACTGGTTGTGAAGATGACACTCTTGCAGCTTGATTCTATACACCTCTTCCTCTTCCTCTTCCTCTACCTCTGCCTGTTCCTCTACCCCTATTAACTTGAATTTGGGCTGGGGTAGTGTAAGTTTGAGTTTGGGCTGGGGCAGTATCATTTTGGCCTGCATTTCCATTGGCAGCTGCTTCAACTCGATTTTGGCATGCATTTCCATTTTGGGCTGCCTCAGCCTGCGCAACATACAAGCACAACTATAAAATGGAAGAACCATAGCATAGTCCCACAACCCAAATAATTAAAAAACCATTGCATAACTAAACCCAAAAGATTAAAGAACCTGTCTTCCACATCCTCTTCGATTGTGGCCTTCTTTTCCACATGCTCCACATCTAATCTTAATGAAGAGTCTTCTAAGTTTTGCTGCTGGAGCAGTGTAACCTGGAGGCAAAGGGTTTGGTGGGTTTGGGGCTGGTACTTGAACCTCACCAGGCTCCTTTGTCCTCACTCTCTTGGGTCTTCCTGGTTGTCGCCTATGAAATGGAGGTCTAATTGGAGGCAAGCCACCCACTGATACATAGAAGAGATGGGGTGGACTATTGGTTCATATGACCTCATGTATGTCTCTGGCTTACAACACTCATCTACATATTTAATAGGGTTTTCATCTCTATGTAATATAGATGAAATAGCATGTGCACAGGGTATGCCACATAAATCTCATCTCCTACAACTACAAGTCATTGCTTTTAGATTTACAACAAACTCCCCACCATACATGTGACTGACTTGATTGGAATACATGGAGAGGCTCTCATCTTGTTCTTCTCAATTATTTTGAATATCCTTGGGCCAACAAGGTGTTTCCATTTTGCACAAGCAGCCCTTCGATTATCTATCCTAAGCATCACATACATTCTAATACTTTCCAAACATGTCAAAATGGAATTATCTCTGGCATCAATTATAGCTGCATTAAAGCTCTCACAAAGGTTGTTCAACAAAAGATCACACTTATACCTTGGATGAAAGTGAGATATGTACCAATTTTTGGATGGTCTCTGCACCAACCATTTCCAAGCTTCCAAGTCCTTTTCCTTCATCTTTTCCATTTCTACTTCCCACCAAGGAATAGTAGTGGCTCTGGTGGCTACCCACAACATGTGTTTAAGAGTGAGACCAAGATGTGTTGCTTTGAAGTTATTGTACAAGTGTTTAATGCACATCCTGTGCTCTGCAGTTGGTAGTACATGTGCAATGACAGGTATGAGGCCATTTTGCTTGTCACTTATGAAAACCCAGGATAAACC